AAGAATGTAGCTAATCTGGGAGAGAGATCATGGCAGCATGAGAAGGAGTAGTGATAGAGAAGTTAAAAGAAGTAAACAATTCTAATCTTTAGATAGTAAAATTAGCACAACATAATAATTAGTTGGATGTGGGGCCAAGAAAGGATGAGAGATGATATGCTGGTAATTAACTGCTGGGTAATTGGTGATATCATTCACCTAGGTTGAAAAATGCAAAGGAAAACAGGCTTAGTGGAAGGTAACATCCTCAGATTTAGATATTGTACTAGAGCCAAGTGGAAATCTGGTACTGAGGAGAAAGGAGGTTGGAGACAGAGAGTCTCAAGAATGATTAATATACATATAGATCTCAATGGAAATCATAAGAATAAATGAGGTCACTCAGCAGGCAAATGTTAAATGAGAAAAGAAAAGCATCTGACCCCCAGACCTTTGTAGAGGTCAAAAGCTTAAAAATGATCAAATAAGTAAACTGATATGATTCACGTTTTTTTTGGGTTTATTTATTTATTTATTTACTTACTTACTTACTTATTTATTGGAGAGATTTTTGCTATAGGGCACATGCACTTGCCAGAGAGACAGTGTAAGAGAGAAAGCAAGAAATCACTCCTGGGGGGAATAGCTATGCCACATTCCCTTCTCCTTCACTCTCCTCTCAGGATTTTGGGCATGCACACATGTGCCCAGTGTGTTTGAATCTATCAGGTTTGGGACTCAAACCACAGACCGCCATGTAGGAGTCCAGTGACATAACCACTACACCATCTTCTGATCCCATAATTCACATTTTTAAAGCGATCTATAATTAACCACATAAAATAGAGGCTTTCTCTATTGATATAGTACTTTTTAAAAGTATATAAGCTACAATTTAATGCAGCACCTCACTGCTTATTTTGCTAAGCAATTAATTCAGTTGAAATGTATATACTGTAAGTCAATTAAATACAAAAAAGGTGAAATAATACTTGGTGAATTTGTTTGAGACTGCTTATACTTTCTCAATATTGCTGCCATTCATTTATTTATTTTTGATTTTCCAGAGAGTACATGTGCTCACCAGGGAAAGACAGAAAAAGAAAAGAGGGAAAGTGAGAAAGCATTGCCCATGGGGCATGGTTATGCTGCAATCCCTTCTCCTCTATTTTTCCTTCCTTTTGGGGATTTTGGGCAAGCAAGCACAGACACACACATGGTGTTTTTTTGTTTTTGTTTTTCTTTTTTTTTTTGGAGAGGTTTTCACTGTAGGGCACGTGCGCTCGTCAGACAGACAGAGAGAGACATAGAGACAGAAAGCGAGAAATCATCCCCCAGGGGGGATGGTCATGCCGCAATTCCTTCTCCTCCATTCTCCTCTCGGGATCTTGGGCACGCACGCACACGCACCCGGCGTGAGTTCTAAGTCACCGGGTCCGGGACGCGAACCGCGGTCGACTATGTGGGAGTCCAGCGACATAGCCATTATGCTAACTACTGGTTCCCACATATGGTGTTCTTCAAACCATAACACAGTTGGCCATGTTAGATCCAGCTCCCTTAACCACCAACCCATTGGCTGGCCCATTGCCATCTTTTTTTATTTTTTTTAAGTTTATCTCTTCTATAAGTGAGAATGACAGAGAGATAGCATCCCCAACAGGGTCTTGCTCCCACAATCCACCCCCAGCTTTAGCCATCCCTACCATCAAGCAACTTCATCTATTTCGAGAAAGTTTTATTTATAAAAAACTTAGCCTGTTCCTCTTCAATTTCATAATCATCTGTGATGTTCTGATTATGACAATATAGAAATAAGACTGCTTCTTATACATCCCTCTCTCAAATTATATGTCAGATACCTCATAATGAGGTAAAGACAGGAATGTAAAGCTACTGATAAGAAAATACTTTGGTTAGTATCAGAAACAGCACTGCATATAAAAGTAAATAAAATGTAGATGTGCAAACTATACAATATTATTTCTATGCCAACAATGTACAATTAAAATTTTGATGTTCATTACCAAATACCCATCAAACAGATTGAAACAACCTACAATTTTGCTGACAAGGCTAGAGAGTGCCCATTACCCATACCACAAATACTTCTAAATAGGGCTAGTTTCATTCATCTTTGCTAAACTAATGGGATCGACAGAAGAGGTTAGAAAAACAGCACTGGGACCAGCAGTTAGTGTAATGGCTATGTCGCTGAACTCCCATGTAGTCAACTGCAATTCGAGTCCCGGACCCGGTGGCTTAAACTCATGCCGGGCGTGTGTGCATGTGCGCCCAAGATCCCGAGAGGAGAATGGAGGAGAAGGGATTGCGGCGTGACCATCCCCCCTGAGGGGTGATTTCTTGCTTTCTGTCTCTCTGTCTCTCTCTGTCTGGCGAGCGCACACGCCCTTTAGCGAAAACCTCTCCAAAAAAAAGGGAAAATAATCTGATCAATTTCAACATGTTCTATCTTATTTTTTTCTTTTTGGTTTTCATGGTGATTGTTGAGTGTTGATTTCTTTTAATTTCTTAAATTTACATTTAATCACTGTATTATCTTTACAGTGTACAACAGATTTTTCCCAGCATGAAAACAATGCATATTAGTCTAGTCGAAGATATTACCATATACATTATCATCAGCAGATAACTGTTAATTTTTGTGGCTATTAAATGTGTTGTTTGTTTTTTTTCCCTGATCCTCTCCCTCCCACCCCCTGTTACTCAACCCCTACTACCCTCCCCATACTAGTAACTTTCTACTTTGAATTTTTCTTTTTAATTTTCTGTTCCTTGAGAATAGAATGCATTCTTATCAAAAAATAAAATAAAATCCAGGGGAAAAAAAGAAGAATATAATAGATATTAGAAAGTTAGACCTAGCCTGAATGTTAGAATAAGAAAAAAATTTAGTTTTAGGAGAGAAATTAAAAATCTGGAATTGGGACCAGAAGTCAGTGTAATGGCTATGTTGCTGGACTCCCATGTAGTCGACTGCGGTTCGAGTCCTGGACCCAGTGGCTTAAACTCACGCCGGGGGTGTGGGCGTGCGGGCTCAAGATCCCAAGAGGAGGATGGAGGAGAAGGGATTGCAGCGTGGTCATCCCCCCGGGGGGTGATTTCTCGCTTTCTGTCTCTATGTCTCTCTCTCTCTGTCTGGCGAGTGCACGCACCCTATAGCAAAAACCTCTCCAAAAAATCTGGAATCTAACCTACCTGAGTTCATTTCCCAAATTCTAGAGTCTACCAGTTATATTTGACAAGTTGCTTTCCACCTTGTTTCCTTATTAGTAAGATGAGAACACTAGTAGTACTTAATTCTAAAGACTCTAATAAAATTGAATAAAATAAACTAGTGTCTGGCACATAGTAGATGTCTAATAAACATTAGCGCTAATTAGTGCAGATTCAAAAACTAAGGCTCAGAGTTTGTGTTTTGCTTGACATACATAAGCCAGAAAATGGTGTCTCTGATATTTTTGCAAATTTGTTTTTTTTCCATTAAAAATCGTTTTATTTGTAGTCTGAAGAAATTACTTTCAGAAGACAAACTGAAATATCAACAATTCCTCAGTAAGCATCGCCTGGATTTAAAGGAAGGAAAGAAGGAACTCTAGATTCACACACACGTGCACGCGCACGCACGCGCACACACACGCACGTGCACACACACACACAACAAAATAAGAAACAAAAAGGATTGGTGGAGGGTGGAAGGCAAGTGACACAGACAGATAAGCTACAATTAGACTTTTTAGAATGATGTAATTCATTAAAGTATAATTAAATTTCTATGTAATGATTAATTATAAGGTTAGAAGAAAAGATTGTTCTGAATATTAATCACATGCCCTGTAAAGAATGTGAAAGATGTTAACAATAGTACTCATAAATTAACCTGAATTCTTGGAAGGCAATCTAGCATTATCTACAAAAATTTAAGATGTACATCTCCTTTCACTAATCAATATAACTAGGAAGAATCCGTCCTAAAATTAATCTGTAGAACTGAGCAAAAATGTGCAAAAGGGATAATAAGCTCATTATTAGCATACCAAATATTAGGAGAAAATTAAGCATGTATTAAAGGGAAAACTATTATTATGGTAGTGTCATGTAGCAAAATATATGGGATGGTACAAAATGTTCCTCTAAATAGATCAACACAGTTTAAAAATTAATGTTTATAAGAATTGTACCAGAGTAAATTATACTATTAAATTTTTATTTATTTAATTTTATTTATTATTATTTTAATTTGCTGTAGGGCATGTGCGTTCATCAGAGAAAAACAGAGAGAGAGGGAAAACGAGAACCCACGCTGCCAAGTCCAGGACATGAACCACAGTCTGCCATGAGGGTGTCCAGTGCTTTAACCACTGTATCACCTATTGGCCCCTAAACTCACTGTATTTTTTTTTAAATGCCAGAGAGCACATGAACCCATACCCATGAGAGAGAGAAAGCACTCCCCCTCATGGGACCTGGTTGTGCTGCAATCCCTTTTCCTCAATTTCTCCATCCTGTTTAAAATCCTGGGCACATGTACACATGCCCCAGGTGGTTTTTAAGCCTCTTAGGCTGGCATTCAAACCACAGTAGAATCAGTCATAACACAGTTCCTTCTGCACAGGGTTTAACCTATGTGCTATGGGGCCTGAACCTGTTTATTTAAATATAGGCTATAGATACACTAAGATGTTAGGAAACAGAAATACTATCAATACAAAAGCAACCAACACACTTAACCGTAATTCTCTCTGGAACGGGATTGAGGTCAGAGGGCAAAACGAATAAGGGAATTAGACATTCATGTTCACGTAGTAGACATACACACACACACACACATTCAAAATCTTTTAACATGTGCATATACCAATTTTAAAGTCACAGGAAAAACAATAGGTAAAAATAAGACAAAGATTGTAAAGAAATAGAAATAAGCCAGTGGGTATAATACAGGACAAATGTAAGAGTAAAGAATTTAGTTTCACTTATACTTAGCTGAACAGCCTTACCTGACACTTGGCACTACAGTACTTGGCAACTCGGCACTGAGAACATCGCATCAGCTTTTCCTTCCTGTTAAAAAAGTAATTCCACATTAGGGGATGAACGAGAAGTTTAATATATATGACTGAAGAAAGAAAACACAGATCAAAATGACGCCAATATGTTCTGCTCACTCCACATGTATAGTTCCTTAAGATTTAGATTTTCACACTAACAAATATCCTCCTTCACTTTCAATGTGAGACATTTCCATAGTAACACTTTTATTTTAATTATGGTAAAATACATTCTTACTATTTTAATTGTCATGAAATACACATTTACTATTTTAAACATTTTAAAATACATTTTAATGGCATTATGTTTATTCACGTTGTTGTTCAACCATTACCACCACTAATATTCTTTTTAACATAAATTTGATAAATCTGCAAGCATCCCATCTAGACAAAAAATTTCACTTCATAAACATTGATCTCCCCATCTACTTTCAAAACCTAGTCCATCAAATGACTAAAAGTACTCCAAATCTCTTAAATATAAAAATTTAATGTTTCAGGTCAGCCCTGTAGCCTTGTGGGAAATAGATCTCAATGGTCAACCACAGTTCAAATCTCAGCCCTGGTGGCTTAAAAAACATGTCAGAAACATGCTCAGAATCCCAATGGGATGGATAAATAGAGAAGGGATCGAAGCATAACCAGGGCCCATTTAGAGGTGTTTTTCTCCCACCTCAGTTTCCTTCTCTCCAGCAAGTACACAAATCCTTTGGTAATGGGACCAGCAGTTAGTGTAACGGCTATGTCGCTGGACTCCCACATAGTCGACCACAGTTCGCGTCCTGGACCCAGTGGCTTAAAAACTCATGCCGGGCACGTGTGTGCGCGTGCCCAAAATACCGACAGGAGAAAGGAGGAGAAGGGATTGCAGCGTGGCCATGCCCCCTGGGGGGTGATTTCTCGCTTTCTGTCTCTCTGTCTCTCTCTGTCTGTCTGGTGAGCGCACGCATCCTATAGCAAAAACCTCTCAAAAAAAAAAAAAAGAATTGTCTGGTAATTCATTTTTCTTTAATTTTATGTCTTCAATTATCATATACTTTAGTTATGAATATATTCCTCCTGGGAAATTATTTTAAAATTCTTTAAATTCAATGAAATTATACATGCTGAATTAGGATGCTTCAAAGTTAAGGCTCTCAAATCACCTAAGTAACAAAAAAAAGAATTTTTTTAAAAGCTAGAATAATAAAGATAAAGAAATAATAAATCTGATAATATTAACAGTGATGAATACAAAGAGGACTATTGATAGGTTCAAGGTGGTCAAGAACCTAAAAATCACACTGTAATACTAATGTCAATGACAAAGCAGAACGACTCTTTCTAAGTACTTGTGATGTGTCAGGCACTATTAACTCACATCTATTTCTCCCCATATCTATTTAGAGCATCTACAATTAGTCCAAAATATAAGTGAGCAAAACAAATAAACAGAGCCCTAAATGGTTCTGAGACCTGAACTAAATCAGCATCTTTATGGGAGGAACAAAGAAGGCAACTGGGCTTCTAATACTGAAAAGGACTTTCAGAAAGTTCATGGAAAATGCATATTATGAAATAAACTATGCATGGATTTTTTTTTTCTTTAAAAAATTGCACCAAGAGGGACCAGCAGTTAGCATAATGGCTATGTCGCTGGACTCCAATGTAGTCAACCACGGTTCGCGTCCCGGACCCAGTGGCTTAAAACTCACACCGGGCGCATGTGCGTGAATGCCCACAATCCCAAGAGGAGAATGGAGGAGAAGGGACTGTGGCATGGCCATGCCCCCTGGGGGGTGATTTCTCGCTTTCTGTCTCTCTGTCTCTCTCTGTCTGTCTGGCGAGCGCATGCACCCTATAGCAAAAACCTCTCCAAAAAAAAGAAAAATAAAATTGCACCAAGAAAGCTCATACCTTAATTCTATTTTCCATGAACTTTTTAAAAGATATATTTAATGTTATTATTTATTATTACTTTTTAATTCGACCAGTGAGAATGCAAGCCACCAGGTCCAAGACTTGAACCATTGGTTGTGGGTGTTCAGTGCCTTAACCACCACACCACCTGTAGGCTCCTCCATGAACTTTTTAAAAAACCGCTATAGACCTATAAGTAAAAGAAGCCCCAAAATGCCAACAGATAGCAAGTGTAGTGTGTGAAGCCAATTTGAGACCCGCAGCCAAAACTGGGGGAGGGTTCTTAATGTAGGAATCCTCCTAAGGATGAGAGCTCTTGGTTCCCTCGGATCCTACCTCCCCTTAGTCCTGGCTCCCCAGATTTCCTCTCATTTTTCTTCTTCTTGCTCAAGTTATTCTGACGCTGTTTCTGTTGTGTGAAAATACAGATCGCCAACTATAAAGTGTTCTTGGTTTTGAAAAATAATGAGCAGAATAGAGATACCTAAAAAGATCAGTGATGAACAGTGAGCAAATATCAATGCTTTATATTGTCCTCTCCCTCAGTTGCCAATCAGTTTTCCATAAATTATAACACAAAATGTTGGCAAACTAAACAATAAGATAATTCAGAGTATGTGAATAATGTACTTGCCTTCTGATGTATAATAGGAATTTCTATGAGTTACTTATATCATAAGAAGTTGATTTTACGTATTAAATGACTAAAAAATAACTTTTAATTCTCAATTTTCAAGAAAGGGTAAACTGAATTAAAAAAAAAAAGTTGTGTGCTTGATTAAACCAACCAGTGCGCTTTTGAAGAATTACTGCTATTCTCTTTGGAGTAAGGTTCAGAGCAATAGCACCCTGCCAAAGCTCCCCTGCAGAGCAAAAACTTGGGCATCAGTAAGAAAAGAAAGCAACTAGCAGAAATATAGTCACCAGACAGTTCATGAAAACATTCCTTGTTTTCTTTTCTTGAAAAAAAAAAATCAGAACATAATTTCCAAATGAAAAACAAAACTTAATTTTTGTATTTTAAAAAAAACAATGAGAAATGTAGATGTTAAAATCAAAAACAGAATCAGTACTCTTTAAAAAAAAAAAAAAAAGGACTACTTATTTTACATAGCTCCAGAAACTAAAAGAGAAATACTAAGTAAAGAAAAGGACAGATTTTATTTCACTGTTAAAATCAAATGAAATGCCTTGAGCAGCACAGAGTCCCCACCACCATGACACATTCAAGGAAATCTACTAGGTTCACTGGCTAGACACAGTGTGAAGACAACTGCAGCACTGCAAAGAATAAACTTACTTACAATTCCAAAATTACTTGGTTTTGTTTCTCTTGTGTAACTAATATATATATAAACTACATTTGAAAACAACACAAACTGTGCATATTAAAAGGCAAAGTGTGGTAGGCTCAGCGTGCAGCCGCACCCTGTTTGCAAAGAAGCTACCTAAAGAATCCACCCAAAACCAGAATTTCTGAATGAAAAGTAATCTTAAAAAAAAAAAAAATTAGATATGTATCAGTAAAAAATTAAAGTGATTTTTACCTCTTTTCCCTGTCCACTTAGGAGATGAATAGTACTATTTCTATAAGAAAAGACATTAAAATTATGTTTTGCTGCCCATGGCCTGGCAATGAAGGCAGCTGGGTCCTATATGGCCAGATACGTAAGTTGATCAGTCCTGACCTGATGGCCTGAAAAATATGCCAGGCCCATGTGTGTGCGTGCCTAAAATCCCAAAAGGAGGGAGAAGTGGAGAAGGGAATTGCAACAAGACCATGCCCCAGGGAAGAAGCCTTCTCACATTCCCTCTCCCTCTCTCTCTGACTCTCTGACTCTCTGACACTCTCCAGCAAGTTCATGTGCCCTCTTGTAAAAAAAAAAAAAAAAAAAAAATGTTTTTTAAGTTTTAAATTATTTTTTACCAAAATAAATGAAACCTTTAGTGACTCAGAATCAAAAAAAGAAAAAGCAAAAAGAAATCCTGTGTCATTTGTTCATACAACCTCTGATTTACAAAATGGAGCGTCAAATCAGAGAAAATTAAGTTACTCAGTGCCCTGAACATAGTGTTTCACAGGACATATTCATATTCCAAATGTAGGCTGTGCCATAGTTAAGTTTCTCCAACAGTTGAAGCTATTAGAATGTAGAAAGGATTAACAAACTGGGCAAAATTAATTTTTCTTCCAGTGTACAAATTAAAAAGTTAGAGATAGGTATAGAGCTAACCATTATCTCTAAGAAATCAAAGGAGGGGATTATTCGCTCCCTCACATCACAACTACGTGTGTACTATTCAAGGGACCATCTATCTGTCCTTCTTGCATGTCAGAGGAAATAATTTCCCATTATTAGAAACTCTGCTCTGAGACCAGCAGATGATGTAATGGTTTCATTGCTGGACACCCGTGTAGTCAACCGCAGTTCAAGTTCTAGACCCGGAGGCTTAAAACTCTCTCTGAGACCACGGGACCACGTGTGTGCATGCCCAAAATCATAACAGGAGATTGAAGGTGAAAGGATTGTGGCATGGCCATCTCCCCAGGGGGTTATTTCTCACTTTCTGTCTGTCTCTCCAGGGAGCACATGTACCCTATAGCAAAAAATCTCTCTAAAAAAGAAAAGAAAGAAAGAAAGAAAGAAAGAAAGAAAGAAAGAAAGAAAGAAAGAAAGAAAGAAAGAAAGAAACTCTACCCTAAGACAATATATCAGTTACTAGACAAAGGAAGAAAAGTTTCTGCGAAAGGATCTAGAATACAAAGAAATCCTACTGACTACCAAATTTTTCCCAACCCTTACACCTGCAGAATCTAAGCTTTCCATAGAGGAAGAAAAAAAAAAAAAGTCCTCTATAATACATTCATACATAATTGTAGTATAGCTATTACAGAGGACTTGATTTCTAACAATACATCTGGAGCTCTGGGAAGTTTCCCAATATGCCTAGCACTTACATCTCTCCTTCAAGAGCCATCCTCATGGCTGGAAGGTAACTCATGGGAGACCCAAGCAAAGGTTCTGACACCAACAGGAAGACTTTCTCCCAGCTGACCCACAGCCAGGTGGAGCATGGCCCTATTCAACCACTGTTGACTACATGGGAGTC